CATTTAATGCTTTTAAAAATGTACTTTACTGGTAAAATTCGAGACTTTGGTCTTTCATTTATCAATGTACTGATGGTGATATTTCCTTGGGATCAATTATCTTATTGATTTTAGACTTACCTTAATGGTTGAAAATGTAACTCAGCTCTGTAGAGACTTTTAGGAAAGTGTATCTGTGCTTTTTCTGATATGGCAACTGATTTTCCAGAGATTGATTAGAACTCAACTACATTTTATATTATTGGCATTTAAAGTATCAGAAATTTTCAATCAACTTTGTTTAAGGTTAAGCAGCTTTTAAGGGGTGGAAATACATTTTTAGTAAATGGTGTCTTTATAAATTATGGTTAAGTAACTTCTCCAGTATAACTAATTATCTGTAAGAAATATCTGGGTCATTGATTTTTTCTTTGTCAATACTTTATTGAAAGATTGTGAGAAAAATACATAAAAATGTATGTAGTTTTATTTGAAGGGACTCTTATCAACATAAATAGTATAACAAATGGAAGTTTCAATTTGAAGGCTTTAAGAATTTTCTAGACCTAGAACTGAGTACCTTGCATATATTAATATAATTCAGTCTGAAAATAGTTATGTAGTAGAAGAAGATGTTGCCATTATCATATAACAGGAAGGGGGAAAACTAACTGGTTTGTTTCTATAACTGCCTGAAACCAGTTGCAGATATGGCACTGTGAGTGCAGGAATTGTGATTCAAAATATAATTTCTGCTTGACAAACATGGGTTGTGACTGCATAGGTCCACTTGATATTTTTCCACTTGATTATCAATGAAAATGTACACTGATATTTTTCAATAAATATATTGGAAACTTTTTTGGAAATTTGCAACAATTTGAAAACACTTGCAGATGAACTACATAGCCTAAAATATCCAAAAAATTTAAGAAAAAGATATGGCATGAATGCGTAAAATATATGTAGATACTAGTCCATTTTTTCATTTACTACCATAAAATGTATTCAAATCTGTTATAAAAAGTTAATCACAATGTAGGCACATAAACACTAGCAGACCATATCTGGTGCAATTCTCAATCCAGAAAAATGTAAAAAAAGCAAAGATGCAGTATTAAATCATAACTGCATGAAATTAACTGTAGTACATTCCGTATTACTGCAGTAATTTTGTTGCTACCTCCTATGGCTATTGTGGTGAACTCAGGTGTTGCTAGTATCCACTTAAAATGCCAAGACGCTCATCATCTCCAGGTGAGCAGTTCGTCTCTCCAGTAAACTGGGCATAACAGTAAAAAGTGATCTCTTGTGGTTTTTGAGTATTTTATCATTGTGTGTAGCACTATACTGTACACCTTGAATAACACCATGAGACCCATATGAAGTACCACTAGTGATGCTGGAAGTACTCCCAAAAAGCGGAGAAAAGTCGTGACATTATAAAAAAAGTTGAATTGCTTGATATGTATTGTAGATTGAGGTCTGTAGCTGTGGTTGTCTACTATTTCAAGATAAATTAATTCAGCATTAAGGACTTCTGTAAAAAAGAAAAGGGATAGGCCGGGTGTGGTGGCTCACAGGGTGGCCTTGGGAACACCTTGGAAGGCCAAGGTGGGTGGATCACCTGAGGTCAGGAGTTCAAGACCAGCATGGCCAACATGGTGAAACCCCGTCTCTACAAAAAATACAAAAATTAGCCATGAGTGGTGGTGTGCACCAGTAATCCTAGCTGCTCAGAAAGCAGAGGCAGGAGAATTGCTTGAACCGGGGAGGTAGAGGTTGCAGTGAGCTGAGATCATGCCACTGTACTGCAGCCTGGGTGAAAGAGCAAGATTCCATCGCAAAAAAAAGGGAAAGAAAAGAAAAGGGAATTCGTGAACTATCACTGCAGCTACACTGGCAAGTACAAGAACCTTGCACTTTTTGTGCAATATCTTTTGATCTCATATTGTAAGTTCAGCTTTTATGTAGGTGTAGCGTTGCTATAGGAAAAGCATACTTATAGACTCTACTATGACTTGAGAAAAAGAAAAGTCATTCTGTGACAATTTAAAGCAAAAGGAAGGTGAAGGATCTATATCTGGAAAATATAATGCCAGCAAAGGATGATTTGATAAGTTTAGAAGGAGGTTTGACTTTAGAAAGGTCAAAATAATAGGAGAAACAGCTTCTTCTCACCAAGAGGCAACAATTAAGCAAATTTAAAGAAAAAAAAATTTAAAAGTGGGCAAAAGACATGAACAGACACTTTTCAAAAGAAGATGTACATGCAGTCAAAAAACATATGAAAAACTCAACATCACTGATCGGTGGAGAAATGCAAATCAAAACCACAATGAGATGCCATCTCATGCCTCTCTCTTAGTAACAGTCAGAATGGCTGTTGTTAAAAAGTCAAAAAACAACCAATTCTGGTGAGATTGTGGAGAAAAAGAAACACTTTATACATTGTTGGTGGGAGTGCAAATTGGTTCAACCATTGTGGAGGACAGTGTGACAATTCCTCCAAGACCTGGAGGCAGAAATACCATTTGACTCAGCAATTCCTTTACTGGGTATATACCCAAAGGAATATAAATCATTCTGTTATAAAGTTACGTGCATGCATATGTTCACTGCAGCACTATTCAGAATAGCAAAGACATGGGATCAACCTAAATACCCATCAATGATAGACTGAATAAAGAAAATGTAGAATACTATGCAGCCATAAAAAGGATCAAGATCATGTCCTTTGCAGGGACATGGATGGAGTTGGAAGCCATTATCCTTAGTAACCTAACACAGGAAGAGAAAACCAAACACCACATGTTCTCATTTATAAGTGGGAGCTGAATGATGAGAACACGTGGACACATGGAGGGGAACAACACACACTAGGCCCCTTGGGAGATGGGGAGAGGGAGAGCATTAGGTAGAACAGCTAGCTGGTGGGTGCTGGGCTTAATACCTAGGTGATGGGACAATCTGTGCGGCAAACCACCATGGCACCTATTTACCTATGTAGCAAACCTGCACATCCTGTACATGTACCCCGAACTTGGAAAAACAAATCATTGAGGGGAAAGGATATTTATTTGCATGAACAGGTTTTTAATGTAGACAGAAATGCCCTATTCTGGGGGAAGAAAAAAATGCCACAAAGGACATTTATTAGTAAGGAAGAGAAGCAAGCACCAGGATTTAAGGCAGGAAGGGATAGGCTAACTCTGTTTTCTGCAAATTCAGGCAGGTTTATGATCAACACTACACTTATCTATAAAGCTGCTAACCCCTGTGCCTTGAAGGGAAAGGTAAACACCATCTTCTAGTCTTTTGGTTGTACAATAAGAAGACCCGGACAATGAGAACCCTTTTTTCTGGATTGGTTCCACTGATTCTTTTTCCCTTTCTAGTAAGAAACCACCTTTTAAAGTTCTTTCAATATTGGACAATTCTCCAGCCAATCAGAAACTCATGAGTTCAACACTGAAGGCATCTACTGCAATCTACTGGCTCCCAAACACAACATCTCTAATTCAGCCTCTAGATCGGGGATTATAAGGACCTTTAAGGCTCGTTACACATGGTAGTCTATGGAAAGGATTGTCAGCACCACGAAAGAGAACCCTGATAGACCATCATGAAGGTCGGGAAGGATCCATTGGAAATACTGTCATTATAGAAAGGGCAGTGAAAACCATCATGCCTGAAGAAATAAATTTCTGCTGGAGAAAACTGTCTACATGTTATATATGACTTCACAGGATTTACAGCAGAGCCAGTCAAGGAAATCATGAAAGATTGTGAGTATGGCAAAAATGTGTGGCAGGGCAAGGGCAGAGTTGGTTTTAAGATATAGATCTTGAAGAAATTCAGAAGATAATAGACACTACACTAGAGGAGTTAACAGAAGATGACTTGATGGAAATGAGTGCTTCCAAACCAGATAGATATGATGAGAAACAAGATGTAGAATAAACAGTGCCCGAAACAGATTGACATTAGACAATCTTGCAGAAGCATTCTGATTATGTAAGACTGCTTTTGACTTTCACTACATGGACCCTTATATGGGCACCCAAACTTAAGCAAATGGTGGAAGAAGGATTGGTACTGTATAAAAACTTTTAGAGAAACAAACTAGAAAGTCAGGCAGAAATTATGGTGTGTTTTCACAAAGCTACACTGAGTGTGCCTGCCTCACCTGCCACCTCTTCTGCCTCTGCCAGCGCTGAGACAGCAAGACCAAGCCCTCTTCAGCCTGTGAAGACAACAAGGTGAAGACCTTTATGATGATCCACTTCCACTTAATGAATATATATTTTCCTTATGATTTTCTTAGTAACATTTTCTTTTCTCTAGCTTACTTTATTGTAAGAATATACTATATAACACAAATACAAAATTTAATCAACTGTTTACGTTATCGATAAGCTTCAGGTCAACAGTAGGCTACTAGTAGTTAGGTCTTTGGGGAGTCGAGTTACATGCAGATTTTTGACGATGCAATGGGTTGGTGCCCTCTACCCTCCATGTTGTTTAAGGGTCAGCTTACACGAATTCCTTTGGTTATTCACTAGTCCATTGGGTACTGTGTATTTTGAACCTACCTTATTACCGCCTTGACTCCTGCATACCATTGTTTAAATACTATTAAGAAAAATATGCCATCATTTAATTGTAAGATGCTGCAGATTATAAGATTCATAGGAGATGTTAACATGAAAAAATTTGCATTCAGAATCAATGAATATGACAAGGTAATAGTTTCCAAATATCTCTTTGTCATCCAGGATTTCAAGTACGATTTTTTTTTTTTTTTTTTTTGAGATGGGGTCTCGGTCTGTTACCCAGGCTGGAGTGCAGTGGCACAATCTCGGCTCACTGCAAGCACCGCCTCCCAGGTTCACGCCATTCTCCTGCCTCCACCTCCCGAGTAGCTGGGACTGCAGGCACCTGCCACCACACCCGGCTAATTTTTTGTATTTTTAGTAGAGATGGAGTTTCACCGTGTGAGGAAGGATGGTCTCCATCTCCTGAACTTATGATCCACCCACCTCGGCCTCCCAAAGTGCTGGGATTACAGGCGTGAGCCACTGCGCCCAGCCTCATGAATGATTTTAAGGTCAGCACAACACACAAAAAAACTCTTTGTTAAGTACTTTGTTATGAAGGCTAGACTTCTTGAACGTGGTTACCGCCCAAGCAATGTTTTGCCTCTTCCAGGGATTAAACCAAGGTTTTTCAGAAAGGAGGTACTATTTGGAAGATTTTACCTGAGTATCGTAGTATAGATTCTCATTCGTTGTCTTTGGTAAGATTGAGAGTCAAAAACAGTATCCTACAATGTGAAATCAGCATCTGTAATTTTAATTAAATATTAATTAGAAGTGGGGGTTTTCAGTGTGCTAAGTATGGCAGCCATGACTATTTAATCCTTGAGTTAGGAGTTGATTTTACCTATTTTGCTCCTCCCCGATAACTCTTTTTTTTTTTTTCCTCTTTTTTTTTTTCCTCTTTTAAGAGACAGGGTCTTGCTCTGTTGCCTAGGCGGGAGTGGAGTGGCGTGATTATAGCTCACTGTAACTCAAACTCCTGTGCTCAATTGATCCTGTCACCTTACCTGCCCAAATAGTTAGGACTACAGGCATGCACCACCACACCCAGCTAATTTGAAATTTTTTTTGGTAGAGGTAGGGTCTTACTATGTTGCCCAGGCTGGTCTCAAACTCCTGGATTCAAGTGATCCTCCCTTCTTAACCTCCCGAAGTGTGGGATTATAGGTGTGAGCCACCACATCCTACCCCATATAAGTCTTAAACCAGCTTCACTAAACACTTTTGAGTAAGAATAGATTCTTTTTTTCAGGGAGAGAAACATCTGTAAGTAAAATTAATATATGCCTATATGGTTGTTTTATATTTATAAATTAAAACATACTTTTTAATCTCAACTTAAAATATGGTTTCATCAGATCAAAGATTATATAAAATTGTATTATTTATAAAATGAAGATTAGATATGTGAAAGATTATATTAAAAAGAATCAATGTTAGACTTTGAGTTTCGTATTTGGCATATACAGAATGTTGAAAAACGTAAGTCAGTTGAAATCAGTGAGATGACAGCATTATTTTCTAACATTATGTTTGAACAGAATACATTTCTTTGCCTTTCAGATCAACAACTGGCCATACATCCAACAAGTAAATTAGGAACTTAAATTCCTACAAAGAAGTAATATTCACTAGCAGTATGACTGAATTTTGGAAGATAGTGTGCAGTGCAAGCTTTTATCCTGGAAAGACTAGCTCCAAAGGAACTTCACAGAGTGGAATTTTTGGTGAATTACCATTGATCAGTCAACCTCAAAGATGTAGAAAAAAGATCCGTAGATCAAGCAGACCCTTAGAGACAGAGTAGGAATAATAAAATTGGCCCCAAACTGAGGTGTAAACTAAAATGCTTGTTTGCTTACCAAAGGGACTATGTCTTTGTAGTGATTCAAGTGCTGGGTCCCTTTCTGAGAATTGAGGAGTCCAGAAAAACAGATTAACAGTTAAATGGTTATTTGTGAACATAAAAATAGAGCCAGGGAAAGTGTATCATTTTGAGGATTGCCTTAGCCATGGTCCTAATGAGACCTCATGAATCCTCATGTCTTCCTCAAGAGAAATCACTCAGAATGTTTTTTTGCCTCAGTCTTTTGGTTATACTTCCTGAAGTATACTAACTATAGTAAGGAGAGAGGTGTAATGCTTCTTCATAAATGAGGAGAAGAGTGTTTGAGCAGAGGGAATGTGGAAAAGGAGAATGGTAATGGAATATTTGCCACAGGAACCCTTTCAGGTAGGTCAGTTTAGTAAAGAATGCAAGAAGTTGAAGAGCTGGAGATTGAGTCACTTAAAATGATCTATACCTGTATATCCCTTTAAAGGTGTTTATGTACCCTAGAGCCCACGAATATACATTCCTTAGTTTGAGGAATTATGGCATTTGTTTTTATCTTTGTAGATATTGGCTTACTTTCTTGGGATTTTCATTCATACAATAAATACTTATTCATTGTCTATTTACTAGAATACTGTGTTTTGTATCTGATTTCCAGGTGCTTGATAAATATATGAATTGAATTGAATATTTGTTGAACATGCCTATTAAATAGATTTCCAAGCTAGTTCCTTCCATAATTTTTGTAGTTAAATGGACTTTATATGTCTTGCCATGAGACCTATTTGAAATATTCTTTTGATAAGAAAATGCTATCTGAGTAGAAAATGGTACAGATAACATATTTAGGAATGGGCAAGGATCTTCCTGTGTTTGGGTGAAAAAGATAGCTGTACTTGAACACTATCCCTCTTTCCCATAAAGTGTGCTCTTATGTCAAAACCAGTGATTTTTCCTTCAGGAATATAAGTGTATTTTCTGTCAACTTCAGAAAAAAATTGTAGTAACCTAAAGAAGAGACTTTCTTTTTGTGCTAGAGATAACATGGGACATACTTTAGGGTAGTATATCATAAACATAACTTACGGTCATCTACAGATAATGAATATGATAATGTTAGATGCACATTCAACAAAGAGAGGGAACAAGATAACTATGTAAAAAATAAGGAAGGAAAATAAAGATGTGGAGAGACATTTATTAAAGGCTCTACTGTATTTCATAATGGTTGGATTCATTAGCACATTATTTTATTTCAGATAAGCATGGATATAGTGGGCAAGATTGACTTTGGAAGGCTGTATTGAGCTCTTAGAGAACTGTCGAGGGAGAAAGTTTGATTTACACATGTACATAATTTTGTTAGGGGGCAAGAAAGGAAATATGGAATGATGTTTCTCCAGATGTTTCTTCATTTTGGCCACTAGATGGTGACGTTGTATAAAGACAGCTTGGTTGTAGAAGGTGAAATACTCAAAATTTGGTGTGGGATTGGGTATCTATATTTAACAATTAAGCCCAAGAATATCACTTAATTTTTTTATATTCATCATTCAGCCTTGTAGCACATTTTTGGTAAATTTATTGAACTTCTCTTTTTGGTATTTAATTTATATGTATACACTGTCCTGAAGTATTTTGTTAATATCTCTGTGCCTAGCATATTTGGTGATGATAAACTATATATGATAAACAAATACTTAAACAAATGCCGCCTGCCCTCCAAAAAATCACATAGCAAAAAAAACTTATTGATGTATATGATGTGACTAAGAAACATATTTAAGATACATTAAACAAAATAGAAATTTATTTGTGTTTGTACTGTGTTTACTTCTTTACTGCTGATAGCATAGGTATACATGCACATTTGGAAGTTGGACTCAGGAAGAGGGGCCACTCCAAAGGTCCTCTCATCTGTGAATAACCCTTTCATATTACTGAGTATGGGTAACCCATATGCCGAGGATCCTTCTGCTTTCCTTTCTGTGCCCTACCACCAACTTCCCATTATTTTCCAATTCAAAAACAATTGGCGAGTAGCACTGTAGTATTGCTATGATTTTAAAAGACACAGTCCTTTCTGTAACAGTTGAGGTTGGTGCCTCTTGAATTAGTGGGTTTTCTGTTACTGGATTGAAAGAAAGTAGGTTCCTATTATCCTTAAGTTGGAACTCTGAAGGTATTCTTTCATAGACATGGTGTTTGTTTTTTTGTTTGTTTGAGACAGTCTCACTCTGTCGCCCAGGCTGGAGTGCTGTGGCATGATCTTGGCTCACTGCAACCTCCACGTCCTGGGTTCAAGTGATTCTCCTTCCTCAACCTCCTGAGTAGCTGGGATTACAGGCCTGTGCCACCGTGCCTAGCTAATTTGTGTATTTTTATTAGAAACGGGGTTTCACCATGTTGGTCAGGCTAGTTTCAAACTCCTGACCTCATGATCCACCCGCCTCGGCCTCCCAAAGTGCAGACATGGGGTTTTTTTGTTGTTTGTTTGTTTGTTTTGTTTGTTTTTTTGATTTTTTGAGACGGTGTCTGGCTCTGTTGCCCAGGCTGGAGTGCAGTGACGGGATCTCAGCTCACTGCAAGCTCCGCCTCCCAGGTTCACGCCATTCTCCTGCCTCAGCCTCCTGAGACATGGTGTTTTTAATGGTGGTTAAATATGACTAAAGTGGTATTATTTGCAGCTCTACTTTTTAAAATCAGAATTTTCTTTTCTGGGGTTTGGCCTCACTTCTTATTTTCTTTACAGAATAAGATCGAAAAAGCATTTTCTCTTCTGTTTAACAGGGCCTCTTCAAGTGACCATATAGACCTATTAAACATGATTTCTTACTTAAAACCTACTTCATTTTCTCTAGCTTGAAGCAAGTTGTTTCTCCTCTCTTTTCTTGTAGTCCTTGTTAAGGATTCAGCTTTTATGTTAATCCTGTGTAGATTTTTGTCATCCCAACTATACTGTTTGTGTCTTAAAGGCAAACTTTCTTGCTTAGCCTTGTATCTGTTATCAACAAATTCTTGTCCAGTGCCTTACATGTAGTAGGTGCTCAATAAAATACTTCAGATGCTTAAAGAATGCTTAAATGGCTGATGCCAAAGTAGTGTCTTTTAAGAAAATTAGCTATGACTGTATATGGCACAAGATGTTTAGATTGGCTTTTAAGATATAAGAACTCCGATGACCAGGTGTTTTGCTTTCTGATGAATGGATGCTATGGCATTGCAAGTTATAAAACACATTAGTTTGACTTTTGGAACAGAAAATGCATTCCTTTATACTTGTTCATAACATTCAGTCCACATATGGGGCAATTTGATTGTTAATACTGTAAATTACTGATCTTTATGGAAGTCACTGATTCTTTTGAGAATCTGATTGAAACAGTTCTTCCCCCTGTACATACAACAGCCAGAAAAATGCACCTGCATTATAAAGATAATTCTGTACATTATTTAGAGAGCTCATAGATTTCATGTTAAGAACTTCTGCTTCAGATTTTGGAATAGACTGCAGCTGATTAGTCAAAAGGCAGCATAATATAATAGAAAAATGTACTATATACAAAATCAGTTGATCTAAGTGAATTCTAGCTCTTATTCTACCTTTGATAAATGTAGTACCATTTGGCAGGTCATTTAATGTCTCCTTTTTGCCTGTTTCTTCATTTGTAAAGTGAAGTTGGATGAAAGATTAAGTGAATTAGCACATACAATATACTTAGAAGAGTGCTGGGTATGTAGTATGCTTCCCAGCTTTTCTTTCTAGTCTTTGATTCTACTATCTTATAAAGGATTTCTGAATTTTTTAATGCCCTCCTCTTTTTGTCTAACTTTCATGTATATTTTAAAAACTTGAGTAACAATTTATTCTCTTATCCTGTAAGGCAAGTGGGAAACTAAGAACTTTAGTCTTTTCAGGAGTTGGATGTATTACAGCTACTGAAAAACTATTACTGTTCATGTAAAATTTTTTTTTAAACAGAGTCCATTAACATCTATGTCAGCAGCAAACAGATTGTGTTGAAAATATGTAACTTTTTTGTATTACCCAGTAAGAAAAAGACCTTTCTTTTTTTTATTCTAGGGAAGAAGACAAAAATATATTTGATTACTGCAGGGAAAACAACATTGACCATATAACCAAAGCCATCAAATCGAAAAATGTGGATGTCAATGTGAAAGATGAAGAGGTATGAAAAACATGCCCTGTTAATTATTTTCCTATGGTTGTTCTGCCCCAGTGCTTTTTCCTAAATGGTAGGCCAATGAACTACAACTCAAAGTACAGCATGGCTAAGAGTATATCAGAATATCTAAATGAGATGCTGTTACCTAGTTAAGATACGTTCTGTGATTGTGTCAAACATATTTTTATCTATATTTTAGAAGTTACTACCTGAAATTTGTAGGAGTCTGATAGCTTCCATATGTTTATGCTAAAGGGAGAGATTATTAGCAAAATAAGTGAAATCTACAGGTAATAGCAATATCTCATTTATAAATAGCTTTCTTCTGTTATTATACCTTGAACAGCTAGGTATATTGTTCTTTGCTCAATAAATGTATCTCTAGAAAACTGTGTCCGAATTTTGGTAAATCAATAATTTAAATGCTGGCCTACTAATTAAAGGAATCGTATAGTAAATTATTTTATAAAATATATTACTTCTTTTTTTAGAGAGAGAGACAGGGTCTCACTCTGTTGCCCAGGCTGGAGTGCATTGGTGCACTAATAGCTCACCGCATCCTCAAACTCACGGGCTTATGCAGTCCTCTTGCCTCAGCCTCCCAAGTAACCGGGACTACAGGCATGTGTCGTCACTCCTGGCTAATTTTTTTATTTTTTGTGGAGATGGGGTCTTGCTGTGTCGTCCGGGTTGGTGTTGTCCTCCTGATCTCAAATGATCCTCCTGCCTCAGCTTCCCAAAGTGTTAGGATTATAGGCATGAGCCACTGTGCCTTGCCTATTACTTCTTAATTTATTTGTGTTGTGAATAATACCATTCACAAACTGAGTTTTAACTGACCCTGCGTTGTAGTTGTTAACAAAGGAGCAACATTTACTAATTTACTTCTAATCATTTTCTCATTCTTTGGTGATGCTGTGAAAGATTACTGAAATGGCCAAAGGTAGTAATTGTTAGGAAGAAAGCATTGAGTGATCATAGATAATCTGTAGAATAGATAATAATTAACTTATGTGTAATTCAGAGCTGCCTATGTAAAAGGTTAGCCCTTAATATTGTCTCACCTTTCGGCAACATCTTTCCTGTGATAATATTGTCAGTGGCATCTGGAATTGAAAATGTAAGACTATGATACTGCACAAAGGGACTAGTAATACTATGTGGTTTTCATTAAGTAAACAAAATAATACCAGGTCTTCTGATTCTAACTGGGTTTGTGGTTTTTGTCTGTTTGTTTGTTTTTTGCCTTTCAGAATCAAAATACAGGCATACCTCTGAAATATTGCAGATTCAGTTCCAGACTACTGCAGTAAAGTGACTATTGCAATAAAGCAAGTCACATGAAATTTTTGGTTTCCCAGTGCATATAAAAGTTGTGTTTACTGGGTGGACACGGTGACTGATGCCTGTAATCCCAGCACTTTGGGAGGCTGAGGCAGGTGGACCACAAGGTCAGGAGCTTGAGACCAGCCTGGCCAACATAGTGAACCCCATCTCTACTAAAAATACAAAAAAAAAATTAGCCAGGCATGGTGGCGGGTGCCTGTAATCCCAGCTACTTGGGAGGCTGCAGTAGGAGAAATGCTTGAACCTGGGAGGCAGAGGTTGCAGTGAGCCGAGATCGCACCATTGCACTCCAGGCTGGGTAACAGAGCAAGACTCCATCTTAAAAAACAAACAAACAAAAAAGTTGTGTTTACACTCTACAGTCATCTATTAAGTGTAGAGTAGCATTATATCTTTAAAAAAGTACATACTTTAATTTAAAATACTTTATTACTAAAAAAATTCTGACAATCATCTGGCTTGCCTTCAGCAAGTCATAATCTTCGTGGGGCAAAAGGTCTTGCCTCAGTGTTGATGGCTGCTGACTGATCACAGTGGTAGTCACTGAAAGTTGGGGTGGCTGTGGCAATGTCTTAACATAAGTCAGCAGTGAAGATAGCTACATTGATTGAGTCTTCCTTCGTAAAAGATTTCTCTGTACATGCAATGCTGTTTGATAGCATTTTACCCACAGTGAAACTTCTTTCAAAATCGTAGCCAATCCTTTCAAACCCTGCCACTGCTTTATCAACTGAGTTTATGTTGTATTTTAAAATTTTTGTTGTTATTTCAACAATGTTCACAACATCTTCACCGGAGTAGATTGTGTCTTAAGAAACCACTTTCTTTGCTTATCCATAAGAAGCAACTCCTCATCCATTCAAGTTTTATCATGAAATTGTAGCAATTCCATCACATCTTCAGGTTCCACTTCTAATTTTAGTTCTCTTGCAGTTACATCTGCAAGTAACTTGTCCACTGAAGTCTTGAATCCTTATCAGTGTCATCCATGAAGGTTAGAATCAACTTCTTCTAGGCTCTTGTTAATGTTGACATTTTGACCTCCTCCCATCACGCATGTTCTTAATGGATCTGGAATGGTGAATCCTTTCCAGATCTTCAGTTTGCCCATATCCATCAGAGCAGTCATTGTCTATGGCAGCGATAGCCTTATAGAATGTATTTCTTTAATAATAAAACTTGGAAGTCAAAATTATTCCTTGATCCATGGACTGCAGAATGAATGCTGTGTTAGCAAACAAGAAAACAACGTTAATTTCCTTATACATTTCCATGAGA